AAAGTCAACACTCCAAAATCAAAGGGTTCCTAAACAAAAACAAGAAACACACTGAGAGACAAATAAGGGAATCTCTACCTTTCACAATAGTATCCAAAGGACTGAAGTACTCAGAAATCAATCTAAGAACTAAAACATCTATAGAGTGAAAATTACACTACTATGAAAAGAGAGATTGAAGAGCATCCCCAAAACAGGAAAAATATTCCTTGCTCATGGATAGGAAGAACCAACATTGTGAAACTCACTATACTCCTAAAATTGTTACATAGAGTCAATGCAATTTCAATGAAAATATCATTGGTATTCCTCACAGAGGTATAAAATATTCCTAAAATTTATTTGGAACCAGAAGAGACACAGAATAGCAAAAGCAAACCTGGACAAAAAAGGCAAGGCAGGAAGTATCACAATCCCTGATTTGAAATTATACTACAAAGCTTCTCTGATAAAAACAGCATGGCATTGGCAAAAAAAACAGACCTGAAGATCAATAGAACAGACTAGAAGAGGCAGGCACAACTACAAAAACATTCAGCCACCTCATCTTTGAAAGAGGGACAAAACATGTGCACTGGAAGAAAGATAGCCAATCGAATAAATGGTGCTTCCAAAACTGGCTTTCCACATGCCAAAAACTAAAACTAGACCCAAATGTATCACCATGCACCAAAATAAAGCCAAAATGGCTTAAAGATATAAGTATTAAAACAGAAACCCTAGATCAAATGGAAGACAAAGTAGGTGGAAGTCTTAAAGGCAAAGGGGTAGGTAAACAGCTCATGAACGAAAACCAAACTGCATGAGAAAAACTTCAAAGAAACAACAACTGGAATTTCGACTCTTTGAAAAATTCTTGCACTTCAAAAGAAATCACTCACAGGCTGCAAAGAAAACCAACAAACTGGGTAAAAATTTTGGCTACTCTCCCTCAGACAGGTCTCCTGTCTAGAATATAAAGTGAGAAAAATCAGGCCTCCAAAATTCAAAGACCCAGTGCAAAAAAAGGGTATCATCAAGAAATTAACTATTTCTTGAATGGCTATCATCAAGAAATTAACTATTTCTTGAATGGCTATCATCAAGAAATTAACCAGTAACAAACGCTGGAGAAGCTGTGGGGGAAAAAAAACTCTTCTGCACTGTTGGTGAGAGTGTGGACTGGTGCAACCACTGTGGAAATCAGTTTGGAGAATCCTCAGTAAACTGGAATTAGAGGTCCCAGTCAACCCAGCTAGTCCCCTCCTGGGTAATTTTCCAGAAGAACTGAAAACATCGTACCACAGCGATCTACATGCACTCATGTTTATAGCAGTGGAATTTGTAATAGCTAAACCTTGGAAATAACCCAAATGTCCATCAACTGAGGAATGGATAAAAAAGATATGGTGTTTTTATACAATGGACTATTATCCAGTTATAAAAAAGATGAACTAGAGGCTTTTAGAGGTAAATGAATGCAACTAGAGACCATACTCATTAGTGAAATCAATCAGATTCACATGTATAAACATTGTATTTCCTCCCTACTATAAGAATGTGAAAGAGTAAAGAAAATCTGAAAGGTACAGTAGATATTGTAAAAGGGAAGAGAAGCTGCTCAAATTGGTAGGAGAAATTGGGATGAAAGATGGGAGAGGAGAAAGAAAGAAGGAAGAAGGAAAAGTATGTACACATATACACACAAGATAGCTAGGATACTTGTACTACTAATATCAGTTAACTTATAGAAAGAAACTGTTAATGTGTAATTCCTTGCTTAATCTTGCATGCTTACACCTGGTTATAGGCACAATTATGTTGAAGATGACATTATATATCACTTTATATATGCAATTATTTTGAAGATGCCACCACTTTGCTGCAGTAATATAATAGCCATTGTTGATATCATATCACCATGTTTTGAAATTCTCTATCATTTTTGTTACTTTCTATTCTGTTTCTTTAGTTTTTGTTTTCTTATGTTGTTTTTTGATGAAAAACAAAACTTAGATGTATATATAAGGATAGCTGGGATAGGTGTATTGTTGATGTCTGTGGTTTATTGAGAGGAATAGTCAATTCTTAAAATATTCTTTTTTCTTGGCTAATTTTGCACACTTGATTTGGTGATCAGAATGACTGATCTGAAAACAATATGCAGTGTGAGAACCATTGCTGAGCTCCTATCATCTTCTATGGTGAAGCTCTGCATCACTTCCAATATTTTATTTTTTCCTTTCTTACTTGTTACTGCTTTTCATTGTTTGATCAATCTTGCATTCTTATGTCTAGTGGAATGAGTAACTTCAATGAAGACAACTATGTAGTATAGCAACCACTGCAAATTCCTATCATTTTGCTTTGAGGTCGTGTATCATTTCTGTTGTTTTTGTGTTGTTTTGTGTTTGTATTCATTGCTGTATTGTCAGATTTTAATTTTTAAAATAAAAGAATAATATGGGAAAAGGTGAAAAGAACCTGAAACTAAAATCAGCCATAGACAAGAGAAATTATGTTCTAATCACAAGATGAGCTACTTGTGACAAACTATTAAACTAGAGCTAAATCCAATCATTAGGCTGAATCTCAACAGCAATAATGATGCAAATACACTTTTATTTAGAGAAGAGTGTACATTTGTAAAAATTATTGGGGAAATAAAGAAAATGATAAGGATAATGACCAAATAGTGATTGACTGTAACGGAAGAAATTGAGAGGGGAAGGACAAATCAGGGAGTTAAAGCTAATGGTAATATTCATTTCTGGGTTAAACTGAGCAGGTTTATCTTATTAGTATGTCAAACAGAGACTGCCACTAAGACGATAGATTATTGAATACCACAGGTTTCCAGCTGCTAAAACACAGTAAACATCCACAGTTTCTCCTCCTTTTCACAATATCTACTGTACCTTTCAGATTTTTTGTCAATATTGTGTGCCTCATTTCTTTGAGCACCTGCAATCTGCCCTTGTTTGTGTCTTCTATCTTCTATTACTAAATCTTTCTGATGTCTTTTTTAAAAAATACATACTGCTTTAATATCTTAAGGCATTTAATGTCTCAAAATATTTAATTAAATAATTTCAATGAAAATGGTGAAAAAGAAATGGCCAGAGTAAATCATGAAGCTTGCACTACAGGCAGAGAAGAGCACCCAGAAGCTGGCCTGAGATCAGAAGCATGGAAACTTTTGAATCTGCAAATTCTATCTGAGTAGGGGCATCAACTTCTGCATCTACTCATTCCTTTCACTTGTTGCCTAGGGTTAATACTATTCACTATGCATAAGGCCCCAGAAAAAAGGAGAATGGGTACAACAGCACCTTCTACAAAGAGCACTTTGCAACCCTTTGGTGGAACATGGTGGGATAACTATGGACAGTGTCATTTAAGCTTTGTGGAGACCAGGCAGGTAAATGCTCTGACTCAGTCCTCAACTCCTCCCTACCTGGAGCCCAGCCTAGCTTCTAGAAATAGACTGTGGTGCTGTGTTTCTGCTTCATAGTTATAGGGGTAATTACATGATAGAATTGATATCAGTTAGGCAGTGGGGATGGGGACACTCAAGCAGAAGAAAAGGAATGTGAGCACGCTGGGTCACCACCAGCAAAGGAACGCAGGGGGATTGTCCCAGCTCCATATGAAAGTCTCCCTCTGCTCTGAACCTGGACCATGCTCACCAGCAAGCTCAAAGGGATCAATTCTGAAAGTAACCCTGCTGGAGTAAT